CACCCTGTAGCTTTTATCAGACAATCTACAGTTTTGGATTTTTTAAACTTTTGGGGGTTTTACTGAATAGACTTTTACTCTCTGTTTTATATACTGCCCTCTCAGGGGCACACTGCTTGGCCTTTCAAACCTTTTGAAATCTAGGTGAAAGCCTTTTTAACCTCAGAACTGTTTTATTTTGAATGCTCCTAAACCAATGCCACATGGATGATGCCAAGGGCTCCTGCCAGCTGCAGCACTAGGCAGGGTTTTTTTTTTCCCCCTTGGCTGTAGGGGTTGAGCGCCTGGATTGTTGAGCATTCTGAATCTGATTTCAAGGAACAAATTTTTTATGTTGGCACCATTCTGGAATCTGATGTGGCCACTGTCTCTATTTTGGAACCTGGTGTGGCCACCACCTCTATTTTGGAACATGGGGCTCTATGGCTTTTTTCTCAAAGCAAAATCTCTCACCCTTGTGATTTTGAGGCTGTAAAGGGTAAGAATCTGTCATGTCCTGTGATGTCCTCAGGACATCTTTTTTGTTTCCCTGTTCCTCTTGGGCAAAGAAGATCTCATCTCTGTCTTTATAGACTATAGTCTTTTTGGTGTTTCCTTTCTGGCCAGACCCACAACATTTTCAATCCTTTTGTTGGGCTCTTTGTTTTTCACTCTCAACATATATCTGACTAAAACCCCCCAACGATAGCCATGTTACTGCCTCAACATTTGACTGCCTTGAGATTTTGTGTGTGTGTGTGTGTGTGTGTGTAAGATTAACTAGTCTACTGTGCTTAATCTCAGTTTCTGGCGGTCTCTGGACAGGAGCAAGATGCAAGCAAACTTTTTTTCAAGCCATAATACAAATCATTCACAGTCCAACAACGAATGCAGTCTTTCTTCCCAGGAGAAGCCTCCCTTGCCTGGTCTTTATAGGCAGGCTTTTTATAAACATTCAGGTCTTCTGAGCTTTGATCAGAATCTCTCATACAAAGGAGCTGAAGGTGTTTCAGCTCTTTGCTCATAGATGATATCTCTAAACCTTTTTTTTTTAATCTCTTTCCATAAGCCATTTTTAAAAGCTCATAATCTATATTGTCAGGTATAGTCACAGCAAAGAACCCACTCCTGTTACCAAATTCTGTTATTTGTTGCTGGGACAAAATACCTGACATCCCAAATTAAGGAAGGAAAGTTTTTTTGGCTTACAGTTAGTGGAGGTTTTAGTTCATACTCAACTGACTCCTAGGCAGAGTGGCACATGGCAGAGACCACCAGTTCATGACAGTGGAAAACAGCGAAGAGCAAAGGGAAGGGCAGCAGCTGAGGCTTCTAGCCAGCCTCTCTCCCCTCCTTATATGTAAACAAGCTAACCAGGGGCTGGAAGTGTAGAACTTATACAATGTCCGTGCCCTCCTCTTGCTGAGGATGAAGATGTTTATGCGCTAAGAATCCTGGCTCCCTGGTAGTCACTTAATTAAACTGCTAAACGTTTTAAGTTGATACAGTGTATCAACCAGTATAGGAAAGATCAGTCCAGATTGGTTATTGGAAATTTTATAGGTAGAGACTAGCTTTTCTTGGGCTATTGTGAATGGGTTATTTGAGAGCCTGAGAGAGAATGAAGAGGAAGAAGAAATGCAGAATATAATGCAGTAGAACAGCTCAAATGGTAGAGGCCAGTGGAGGGTGACTGCCAGCGCTGGAGTTAGGGCAGAAAGTAGTGAAGGCCAGGTTATAACTGGTGGAGGAGACAGCTCATGGCAGGGCTCTATCCATTAGTAGAGAAATTTTCACCCATCAAACTGGTAATTATCTAATTTTTCAATCAAGACAGGTAACAAATGGTAATTGTTTAGGATAGGTAGTGAGTGTGTAAATTTGCAGAAAAAATATTTGGAGAGAACTTTTTCTCAAATGACTTAATTACATATGTTCATTAACCTGGAAAATAGCCATGAGGTATAGAACAGAAGAAAGGAAATAAACTTTCTTAAAGGCATTGGATTATGTACATTCTGTATTTAAAATAGTGTTATAGTCATAGTTAAATATGTGCTATGATCATATCAATTGAAAACATAAATAGCATCTCAGATGGAAAT